AAAAAAAAGGAAAAAAACCCCAAAACTAGACGATGCTCTAAACATTCCTATTGTTGTTATATTTTTCCAAGGGAAAGATGTGAAAATACCTCTTTGGGACTGAATTCCAAAACGGTTGCTATGGCAGTGATCATTTGCTGTTTGACAGAGTAACTGGTGCTCATCATAAACCTAAGCACGATATTCTTAAGGTATTCCAGGTTGGCACTCTCGCGAGATCTGAAAAATAAAGCAAACGAGCATTTATTTAGTAGCAGTTCGTAATTCAACTTGTTAAACGGATATCGTACCCTTGACGTAAAGTTTCCTGGAAATAATGCTGCATCTGCCCAGCACGTTAGTTGTATGTTTTGGCAAAAAGTGAATGAACGCCCCGCAGGTTGACAAAGTGAGTAAAAATCTCTTCCTAGGATGTTTGCAAGTTCATTGCAGATCACCCACCCATCCCCTCGGTAGAACGACACTGCGAGAATAAAAGCAACCAATAGATGCACATCTCTCTGTTATCCAAGTTACGATTATTTTGTCGTAAAAAGCTTTATTACTTCATTCCCAGTTTTTTTTGTGTCTCCTTTTACTATTACCTTTAGGAAATGCTGGGAATGTTTGCGCACTACATCAATCTAGGTTTTACATTAACGATTCACTAAGAAAGGACAAAACTTACCTATCTCTTTCCAGTTTTCTGATTTCTTCCTTAAGAACGTTGGTTTGATCAATCAGCTTTTCACCTCTTTCAAAAGAAAACAATCAATGTTGCTTAGAAACGCTTACATAAACAGGATGTTTCGGGATATGCTGTCATAAGGTTAGTTTGCTTGCATTCACTCTACAGTTTGTTCAGAAACACACAAGCCAATAGGAGAATGCATGACATGAAGTCATTCTTAAGAAAAATATCGTGCTCTTCAAGAGATTTAACACACGTACCACCATTGAAAAAAAAAAAGTACACATAATATTATCAATGGGGCTACCTGGCGGGAAAGAGGAATAAAATAATCCTATGGCAAAGGGTTCAGTGCAGTAAAAGCCCAACTGACTTAGTAGCTCACTGCAAATGGATGACTAATCTCGACTTGCGACCTAAAAATTTACACCAACCTTAGTTCAGCATCTCTCAGGGACGCCTCCAACTCGTTCTTCTGACGTCGTATCGCAACGCTTTCTGCATCCCTTCTGGCTTGTTGTTGAGCGTAATGTACTAATGTGCTTTCACTGTTGCTAACCTAAAAATCACGTTCTATTCAGTTCATCAGTTTATTGGGAAACGTAACAGAAAGGAAAATAAAGAAATATCGTGTGTTATCACAGAACTCGAATGGTCATTACTTTTGAAATGTTCTAGATTTTTTTTAATAATTCCTTGCTCAACTAAAATAATTTTGCGGATGAGTTAAACACACGTACCCCAGAAGGCTTGGATAAAAGTTGATGAACAGCTACATCCGCATCGGAAGACTGGGGAGAGTCCAAAGTGACCTGGGACCCACTGCTCACCTCCACAAACTTTCTCGGGTAAGAAAACACTTGCCTTGTTTTACCCACATTCTCTACTGAAGGACTACTTGAAGGACTACGGCTTCTCAGCGTCTCAATCTCTGAATCTTTTTCTGCCACTAGCGCAAGAGTTCTTTCCCTTTGATTTAAAACCTGTCTTTCCAGTTCCTCAAGTCTTTGTTTGTAAACAGTACTTGTTTCTTCTTGTTCACGTTTGTGTTTCTCTTCCAGCAATTTGACTTGATCTCGTAGGTTGGAGATCACTTTTTTATGATCCCGTTCCTTTTCAAGGCCCAGATCTTTTAACTCTTCAGTTTGTTGTTCTAAATCCCTGTTACGTTTCTTTAATGCTTCCAAATTTTCCAACTGTTCACTTAGTTCTTTAAAAGATTTGTTCTTGTGTAGGGCTTGTGTTTTTACTTTATACCGTTCAAACTCTTCTTTTAGTTGGCGCAGCTCTTGTTCACAAACCTTGTGAGACGGGTCGTTGGCAAAGAAGGACTCTAACTCTGACTTGCTTAGCTCCTCTAATTTTGAGAAGAGAAGAGAAGAGAAAAAAAACAATATCAAAATGATGTTTACCCACTCCTTACCGATCCATCGAACTGAAAGAATCTGAGAGTTCCATGACAACATTGCTTACCCAGAAACCCTTTAAACCCTAACAACAGTATTCATATTTTCCAAACTCTTCTCTCTAAATTTTCTTTGGCAATGACGAGGAGAATTCGTTCAATCAAGATTTTCTTTAGTTGGCGACCATTTCCACTATTCTCATGACCTTCATGAACGATTCAGCAGTATTTCAGTGAGGAGAAATTAGATGCTAGTCACTCTTAGGGTTTAAAGGGTTAAACATTAGCCATATCCGCAAGACTCACACACGTGCCAACAGAATATTCAAAAACGTTTTCAGAAATCGTAAAATGAAAGACAAAGCAAGAGAAAAAAAATCAAAAGAAAATTCAAAAGTGGGTCAAAATCATACCTTCATTTCTTCCCTGTTTAACATGGAACCCAGTTATCAACTGAGTACCTTAGTCAGGGTTAAATATTGTAGAGGGTGGCAAATAGAAGGGGCCCTGATCCCGTTTCACGCACGAATTCCAGAAAAATTCACGCTTCACGTGTAGTATTCACGCGTCACGAATTTAAAAGAGAAAACCTCAGATCTCACCTCACCTAGCCTTACTGTAAAATTCACGTTTCAAGTATCAAATCTGTGCTTAATTTTGTGCTCTTATCGAGAATTATTACTTACCTAAATTCACTGGTGTGTCAGAAGAATTAAGAGCAATCTTGAGTAATCCTTTCAACTTAAAAACTTGCTTTTTCAAGTCCTCTGGTGTTTCGTTTTCTCTCAGTTCCTTTTCATTGTCTGGCATCTGATTCTCATCTATACTAAGCTGTCTTGATAACGTAGCATTTTCTGAATCTAGTTTCTGCAAACGATCTTTCAGTTTCTGTATAGCTTGCTGGTCTTGTAGTCTGAGTTTTTCATAATTGCCAACAACTTCTGACAACTCAGAGAGTTTCACCTCTGTTCAGCAACAAAAAATAATGAATTAAAGCAATAAGGATACTGAGAATGTACAAATACTAATGGTAAATGTAACAGTTATGTGAAGATTATTATAATAATTATCATCATTACTATTTATAGTATTGATATCATCATTGATTAGATCTATTGACAAAGGATGTACCTATATTTCTCATTTTCCTTCACAAGAAAAGGCTTCAATATAAAATGACCCCTTTTTCCTCAAAAATATTACATGATTGTACATGTACTAAAATGGATTGTGATTTATTTTTCTCGGCTTTGGAGTTCGAATGTGATAGTGTTCAAAGTTGGCAAAAAAATTTCTCTCTTCATAGGACATTTGCTCAACCAAGTCTTCATTTTAAACAAAATTTTTCAGGTGTGGTCTATGCCCCCATCCCTTCCACCTCTCCCTTGCCTCTTGAAGTCTTTATGACCATAAACAGGAAAAAGTGAGGGGAATGCAGTCTGCTTAGGAGTTAGAGGTAGTAAAGTACCCCATAAAAGTCATTTAATTCATTACATACCCAAATCTGCTACTCTACACTCTTCTAAACTTGTAATAATCCTCAACCTTTCTTCAGCATCATTGGCTCTCTTCTGCTCCCTTATGACAGCCTCAGCATTTTCTTTCTTCATCTTGGACATTTCCTCTTGCAACTGAATCAGCAGGGGCGAAGGTCTTGTGGAAGCTTGCTCTGCTTCCTTCAACCTCTTCTGAACTCCTTGTAACTCGAGCTGCAGCAAGGCAATCTGACGTTCATATTCCTCTGTTTTGCTACCAGGTAACTTTTTTGATAGTACAATCTGTTCTTTGGCATCTTCTAACTGTTGTTCAAGATCTTCCTTCGTGGAGCGTTCTGTGGACAACAGCATTTGAAGTTCACGCAGCATGAGGACATGGTTGTTTTGCTCTTCTTCACGAGCTTGCTGTTCATGTCTCATGCGCAGCTTGAGCTGTGGGCAGACAAATGAAATTGATCATGGATTGATTTTTTTTCTTGACTACCTTACTGCATCGCTAAAAAATTTACATATGTCACTACATACATGCTTAGTTTCATGTAAAAAGCTACATGCCACTCCTGTCAAGTTATGTCATTATAAATTGATGTCACAAACTGCATCCAAAGAATGCCTTTTTGTGCAGCCCCTAATTGTTTAAACAGACAATCAAGTGATGGAAAAAAAACAAAAACATTAAAGTTTTGGCATCAACTGTTGTATGTTACACACATTCAAAGACAATCTTAGAAAAGTTAGGTTACTCCTTTGGAAATGTGTCATAATTTTGACTATTATTTTTGGTGGTAGGGATAACGATATTCAGTCTTTTTGTAGCATACTTCTTCCTTAAACAGAGAAGCGTTTTCTCGTACAGACCTCTTGAAGTTGTTCTTCAAGTGTTTCCACATTCTTATTCAGCTTTTCTGTTTCTTCTGCATACTCTGTAACTTTGGCCTCATGTTCTTGCTACAATTGTTAGATTTCAAATAAATACAAGATGATGCTTTAATCATGGAGGACACATTGGATGAAATAGTTTTAAAGAAACCATTTAGTATCTTTAAGCTGGTAGATAGATAAATACAAATGAAGTAAATATTTGACATGGCATGAAAATGTTACAGCTTTATAAAACAGGTGAACAATTAAACATTAAATAATGTACAATTAAAGCTATAGGAGATATACACAAATTATTCTTATTTCAGATGGAGCAATAGTTAAAAAATTTGGCATTAAAAAAATCAAATGATCTTTTTGTCTTGATACTTGCCCTTTTGTCTTCCTACAGACAATTCATGAGTACTTGTTGACTGACTTAGTGTAATTTACATGCATGTTACACTCTTGTGTTTATTCTTCATTACATGCAGGTGAGTGCAGTAATGTACAGTGTGGGTGTTTAGCACATGCATGTCAAAGGAATGTAACACAGTTCACAAGAATGGTAATGTAGTTGATCTTCTTCCTAACAAGACTGTGAAACACACAAAAGTGATAGATGTTTAATGTATCTGAGAAGCCCCCTTAGATATGTCCCTGCACTTAAGGATGTACACACCATCATTTTCTTTTTATCTGCCTGGTAGCTGGCTTCCATCTTTGATTTCTGCTCCATAACAGTAGCAAGTGATGTTGTAAGAGTTACTATCTTCTCTTGCAGGGTTTCCAACTCACCATGTTCAGACGAGTTGTCTTCCTGGTTTAAGAAGACAAGACAAACTTATTACAAAATTAGAAGTAAAGCTCTTCTGTTTGAACACAAATTCAGACAGATATTATAAAGATGCATTACTTGACTGAAATATAACTAATTTTTCTTTTGACCAGAGTGCACAGACTACTCAGTTCTCCTGGTGAAATTCTATCATGCAATAGCTGTTGTTTGAGTGCAAAGCCATAAGGAATAATCATCTCTTGATACCAGGTTAGGAAATTTATCAATTTGCAGTTAATTCATAAATTTCAGCACTAGCTCAGTTCTTCTTGAAGAAAAAGAGTCTGTGTTCAGACCAAGTTGCCCATCCGGCAAGAGCTTATCCCAGTTTCTGCAGTATGAACCCTTTACACCCTAAGATCAGTATTCATATTCTCTGCACTGATCTCTATAAATTTCCTATGAGACTGACAAGGAGAATTTGTTCAACAATCAGGGGCTTCTTAAATTGGTCATTATTTCCTCTATTCTCATGACCTTTGCATTTGATTCAAGGTGATACTGTAAGGAGAAATGATAGAAGATAGTCACTCAAGGGTTACACTACTAGGATTATTGCTAACTCCAGGATAGTTGGCTTGTGCTCATTTATACTCCTGGCCTTGGTTATTCAAATTGCTATCCTGTGGATAGTGTAGTATGTATTGTTAACAGTTATATGCTGGATAGTGATTTATTCATTGGATAGCGTTATCTACCCTATGAAGAACTGGGCCCTAGTTGGAGAGAGGTACTGTAAGAGAAGGGTATCTTGCCCAGGAAACAACATAAAAACCTGCCTAAGTCTCAATCCTGGACCTCTTGACCTGGAATCCTGTGTATTAACCCTATAACTCCCAGAGGTGATTGATGTGTAACTTCTCCCCATAATTTCCAAACACTTTCCAGCAAAACAGGTGATGAGAATATTCAAACCAATCAGGTAGAAGTAATAATCTTGATTGAACACCAAACCCTTGTAACCTTTTTTTCAGAGAAATGTGTAGCAGCCAGAAGGGAGAATTAACAACTAGATCTTGGGAGTTAAAGAGTTAACTGTGAAGCAACAGCATCTCTCACTCAGTTCCAGTTAAGTGTTGATTAAGTGTTTGTTAAGTGTTCAATCTGTTTGAAAATGTGGTAACTAAACTTACACAAAAAAAACAGCCATTTTAAAGGATAAATTAAAGCTCTTTTCAAGACTAATCTAGCCTATTAAATTGCCTTACATTACCAATTTTTACTCTTGGGATCAAACAATTTAATATTTAACAACTAGTCACTGAAGTGGAGGTGGCTGGTGGTAGATATTAAGTGAGCCGTGAAGCTGCAAGTTAATTATCTACTGCTAACCACTAACACTGAAGTGAATACCCCTGCCCTAAAAGTTGCTTTAGTATATACCAAAAGAGTGAGATAATATAGCACAGGAAGATGATTTTAACTCATCTGTCGCTGCAGCCATTAAAATATTTCTGGGTGCAAATCCCATGTGAGTTGCCCAGTGGTGAAGAGCAAAGGATATTCCAAGTTCAAGTAGCCAATCAGAGTGTGCCTTCAACACTATCCACTGTTTTAGTATTTAGTAATGCATCACATCAAACCTTGTCAGATGGTAATTGACTTTCATCATTTCCTTCATCATCCTTAACTGCTAGGGGATGATCCAGCACCTCTCCTTTCTTAAAACCATCTTCTTCCAAAGGACTTGCTAGACCACCACTCTTACTAGCCTTATCACTACTGATTTCATCTTTGACAACTTCCTTCTGATCTCTGCTATGGGATGGTTCATTTCTCTGACTGCTTTTTGTAGGCTGGGTGTTACCACTTGTTAAAACCTTGACAGTAGCTTCTAATGCTTCTTTTTCTTGTAATAGATTCTTGTAGGCACGGACAACATCTAAAGAGAAAATGGGAATAGTAATGTTGTGGACATTGGTAAGAGCTCTCAAACAGACATCAGCCTGATATAACATTATGATTAAGCAACTTATAGTGAGAACTGCATTTTTTGTCCCAAAAGGGATGAAAACCTCAAGCCAAACTGGAAAGATCTTGAAACATTAACCATTGCTCTAGCAAAGCACTGTCTGCTATAGAATTACTATCTTATTAGTTTGGAGAATTTGATATTAAATCAACTAGTAATCCCCTAATTTAAATTTTTATTAATTTGTGTTACTTTTTGGCTTGATGTTGTGTTGTTATTGAAAGAAAAAAATCTGTCCTTGGGACACTAAAGGGAGTGGTAACCAGTCAAGTTGCCTGAAAGTCATCTCCCCCAAAGTCACATAACCAGTCACCTGAGTCATGTCGCCCGAAATGTAAGTCATGTCAGCCACAATAAAAAGTAAAGTCACCCAATGCAACAAATACTTAAAAGATCAGACTTACAGACTGTTAATAGGCTATATAGTTAGAAAATATTTATCACTAAAGCACTGTTTATTTGCAACATTGCCATGAATATAATGATCAGAATGGAAATATGTTTGAGTCATGACTCTAAAAGTGTTGTTTGTTTCTAACAACAAAATGAAGTGTTCACTTGTATCATACTCACAAATATTTCCCAAACTTGAGAAACTTTATCACTAAGGTGGTGTTGATTTCTAACAACACCACAAAGACTTTGAATAGACAGGTGTTTTATAAAATGATAAAAAAATTGGGTGACTTGACTTTTTGTTTTGAGCAATGCAACTAAAGTTTTGGGTGACATGCATGACCCAGGTTCTGGGCCACATAACTTCAAGCGACTTGACTATAAATCATGGGAGTTAAGGATTAAAACATTAAATACAGTCAGTCTTTGATAACCCCTGCCCAGAGCATATATTTCAAGTGGTTTTAGCTCATATACTGGAAAATTACTTATCATTATTGATGACCTGCATCACAAAACTGCCTTAAGAAAATGGACCCACATTATCTCAACAAGTATATTTTAATTGATCTTCGGTTTCATACATCACCCTGTGCTTGATACTAACTCAGCTGTGCTTAATGTCTTTCCTCTTTTGGATTCATGATCTTATATCTCGTACATTTAACATTATCTATTCTGCTCACTGTGCCAAGCAATGTTGTCACAATCGCTGCTGGTTAAATCAATCTTGGTATTTTCATTAATTTTACTGCTATTCGCTGCAACGAATTGCACTTCGATACAATACGACACAACGTGATAATGTAATTACATGTACTAATCGATCACTGCCGAATACTCATTCACCTAAACATATCATTCTAAATGAAACTTTAAAACATTTCCTCACCTCTAAGTCTTGTTTCATAACGATTCTGTTGCTCTTTCTGTGCCTCTACAAGTTTTATGAGCTCAAAGCGTGATTTTTTCTCCATATAAACACGAAGGATTATTCCTTAAAATATTTGTACTGACTCCTTTAGCATCATACTTCGCTAGCAGTTCATCGCCATTTAATAAGGAAAAGTCGGTCACTTGTAGACCCCACGATATTCTTAAACTATCATATGTCAACGGTTTGTTTTTTTGACGAGAAGAGAGCCCTACACCAGCGACATGAATTCTCGGTAGGAAAATTGAACTATCAGAAGCGTTCGACACGTATGTTTACATCACTTAGCGCGAAAGACTGGGTCATATGTGAATGTAACATTAAACGAAAAGAATCCGATGCTTCTCCTTCTCGTCACGTGACGAGAAAGTTAATATGGCGGCCGCCCACACTGCAGGTATCGATGGAATAACAAAGGTTTTGGAGAGTATATGTCGAGAAAGACGAAGAGAAAATCTTGATAAAGAAAGTGAAGGTAATTATAACGCATGTAGATAAAAAATGGATATATTTTCGGAGATCTGACGTTTCAGTTTGACCCTAACCATAGTTGAAGCATGGATGACAATCAGATGATGAGTCAAATTACTTGTGGTTGTTTTTGGTATCCTATTTTAACTTTCACACAAATCAAGTGAAACACCGCGGAGAATGCTACGATTTAGCTGCAGACGCTGATCTCGCCAACAACTAGCCGAATATTTTGAGCTCGTACAATTTTACCCTTCAGGAGCTCGAGAAAGGTCAAGCTGTATGCAAGCTCGAATAAGGTTAATGTAACAAACTCTAGTACGGATTTTCCCCATTATTTAGAAAGAATCTGGACAGCTGTATCATTTAGTATGATGCTATTTTCTCTCTTGTCGAGTTTTACGTGTTTTTCTTCATAAAATCATTCAGATGTTTGTTCATTTCAGCTGTGTAAACACGTTTGATTTTCTGCTTAATTTATCCACCCTGTCCATTCTTAAATCTGACAGCATCCAGTTCTTGCATATGAATACAGAGGTGTCTGGTCAAGTTGCCCCCATAACAAACTCGCCACCACCCCAGAGAGTCACTTCACCATCAGTGACAAATTGACTCAGAAGTCAGGAAGCCTTTAAACCCTGAATGTGACTAGCAACTAATTTCTCCCAACATTATAACCCCTGCATCACACAGTAAGGTCATGAGAATAAAGGAAATGATCAGGAACTAAATTTTCTCTTGATTGATAAACAAATTCTCCTTGTTAACATCTTAGGAAATGTATAGAAAACAGTATGGAGAATATGCACACTGATGTTAGGATGCAAAGGGTTTTTTATGGAAGGTTAACTGTTAGAAGCAAGGAGAACAGCAAGTTTCAGTGTTACATGAAATGAATTAAAAGATGTAAAGATTATGATCAGTTTGCTAACGTTAACACCTAAGCAAATTTTGCTGTGTGATTTTTGCTGATGTTTATGAAACTCACAAGCTAAGATGTAGTATATTGAGAAACTAGGCATGTACAAATATTGTGAAAGTATACAGAAAAGGTCTTAGCATCCTTTATTTGTAAAGCAAAACAAATACAAACATACAAACATGACCTTTGACATGAGTTCTGTTCCTATGAATGCAATTCAAAACCAAATCTGA